ATAACAAAAACCTTAAAACTAAAATGTTTAGTGAATTCCAGAAGACTCACCTGTACCTATTAAGAAGGCACATTTCAAAACTAAGTTCTTCAAAGATTCAAAGGGAGAATTTATAACCTGTGAGAGTTTCTATTCTTATATTTTACAATAAATGTGTTTTATGTTGCTAAATACAATGCAACTCAAAATGATTATCTTTACCTGATGAACAAAGGCAACGATATGAAACAATTTATTAAAATCCCTTGGAAAGATTTAAAAAATGCTAATTGATAGTCAAAGCACAAATGGTGCCTAAAATAACAACTACTTAGTTGCACATTAAGCTAATTTACAAATGCTACTTACATTCTAAAAACAAAACATCAAATGAGAAACAATAAAGCATATTATGTTTCCTATGTTGGTGAATCACACATGGTCAATCACCAAAGAGAAGAGTGATTTATGCTCAAACCCAGCCAAGACTTTAATCAATATTGGGTGTCACATCTCAGGAGGCTGGAGGAGGCAAAAAGAGAAGGTTCATTATGACCTTTGCAATTTATATGCAACCTCCATGAAATATAGTAGATTATATAAAAAATAACCATAGATTGGACTAACAAAATCAAGATATAAAAAGCTCTCTATCTGATGTAAATACAAACATTTTTCTGTACGAGAACTCTAAAAAACTGTCTTGTAGTATATTCTACGTAACACCTGAAGCTTCACAAAAGAAAATATCATATGTACAAATTAATGTGCCTTAGAGCCTAAACTAATGATCTGTGGAGGTCAGAAAGTAAACCATCTTCAAAACTATGTGCACTTTTTACAAGACGAACTATAGTATTTTTGGAAACCAAGTCCAATATAAACAACAGGTCTGAAAGATATTACCCAAATAACTCAAACTGATATTCTGCCTTATAATTTGATTGAGCAAGGTAAATCATAGGATAGACAATCTTAGTTTTTATTTATATATTAATTACTAACCTATAGTTTACTAGCATTTTCAAATGCAGAGAAATATGTAGTAAAACCACTTAAACTTTCAGATTTTAGGCCTTAGTCCGCTAATTATGCCATATTCTTTTTGAAATGTTATAAAATGAAACATAAGGCTTCACAGGAGTCATTAATTGACTGTAGTACAAAAACTTCAAAAGCATAGTTTCTCTTCATTTGAAGTAATTTTTTAATTTCTCAGTGCCAAGTGTAGTAATTATCTGTTACAAGGGGATCTAAATTTGTGTTGAAACTTTCTATGTCGATGCTTTAGTGCTTAAGTCTGTGCCGCTGAAAATCATGCAATGAGGGGACTGTAAATAAATACAAACTGATTCAGCTTACCATCTTTATTAAAACTCCTAACCAAAAAAAAGAAAAAAAGAAAAGAAAAAATTGGAAAATACTTTACGTGTCTTATGCTAAGATTGTATTCATGCACAGCTACTGAGCAATAAGATCTAGGAGATCTTTTAGTTTGCTGTTCATGGATGGTATTGACATTTAAGACAAAAGAATCCTATATGTGAATATATGGGCATGCATATAAAATGCTTGATAAAGTGTAATCTTTTCAAGTTAAAAACTTAACAAAACTAGAGCTACATTGAAACCAAATCAAAAACTGGTTTGAAAGATCCTGAAACAAAATCATCTTCCTGCAATACTCACACACAAAACAAAATTTAGATTTTAGATAACAAAGTAGAACAGTGATTTTTTAAAATTATTTGAATACATGGGATATTAAATTCCAAGTCAAATCTAAAAATAAACAACTGACCATGTACATATTGCTTTTCTTTTTTTGTTATGGTTGTTTAATGGTTGGTTACCAATTAACAAAGTGACTTCTGTTTTAACAGTCAAGTTTATGCAACTAATGCTTAGCTTAAAAATAATAATTGGAGGAAGGTCAGACTTTGTCCTTTGACAACTTTTAAATACATTTGCTTACATTTTCTTTCATGTTTTGGTACCCTTACTTTTAGCTTTACTGTCAAGCAGGTGATAGTCTCTGTTTCATCTCATGGTAATAACTATAGGTTTTTACATTTGTTCTAGTTTTCATAGATAGCATAACTGATGCAATCACCCCATCAAATTAAGCCCACTTAAAGGTATGTCACTAATTTACTAAGTTACTTTAAGCAAGTTCATATACCTTTCTTTTCGTTAACATCATTTTGCTTCCTTCAGGTTTCCTGGTATATAAATGCTATTGGATATTAACAGCAAATGCATAAATTACACTTGAATTAAAAAAATCTGTTTTGTAAATACAAGATAGAAAACACTTTAGTTATTGCTTTCAAAGTTAAGACACAAGACAATAACACTTGTAATTGTCATTTAAAATAATACATTACAATGCAAACAGGGAGTTCAACTATAAGTTGTTTGTTTTCTTAGTGTCAGAGTTGGGAAAATCTAGGTAGCTATCTGCATCTACACATCTAAGGTTAATGACTGCAGTACTGGCAGGTATTTACTGGCCTTGTAGTTGATAAAAGACCAAATGAAATAGTAAATCAACAAACTTACCATGGTTTACTTAAAATAACCCTAACTAGGGCTTTAGAACAACACTTTTTTTTTGGTAAGTCTTAAGACTGAGTGATTGAGATATAATTAGAGTATTGATGAGTTACTTTTGAAGGGATAAACAGTTCTATTGATTTAAGTTATCTTGGCTCTGAAAGCTTAAACTACAGAGCTATTGTTAACCTCAGAAAAAAAAAACTCCATTTAATTGTTAATAAATAACTTTAAGAACATTCTCCAAACATATGGGCAGGATTTCAATTTCCAAGTCTACACCAAAAATTCAAGAAAAAAACAATCATGATCTTAATTGTTTTACACTACTTCTTTTACACCGATTGTGACACTCTCATTGAAAGAAGTTTTCTCTAGCAATTTGTGTGTGTGAGAGAGAAATGGTCATTAATTATCTAGTAAAGTGTGCGCTGTAAGAAACACACAAAGAGGATTCAAGAGCTAAGTGGACTGGTTACTAAAGAAAATGATTAGCGTTTCACCAATTGACTGGATAGGCAGAGAATTTTATAACAATCATGTTGGAAATGGCTTCAAATTTCAACTAGTGTCCTTTATAACAACTCCTTAGTTTTTTGTTTTTGTTTTTGTTTTTTTTTTGCCCTGAATCGAGGAGTTTTACCAGTAGATCTTTGGCAAATATTTTATCTTCTGTCCGTCCAAGGACTCCAATTATCACCGTAAATGACGTTTAGCGATCACAGTTCCCCCTCAAGCTTTACTGCCACCTGTCCATACTCTCGGGCACGCACGCGCACGCGTGCGCGTACACTTCCGTGAGCGCGCTCAACATTCACCGAAAAATAGTAGAAATGAAGGTTCCAACCCCAGACACACACCCACGCCCCGTGCAAAGAATGGCAAATAAACATGGAGAAGAGTCTCTGACTAGGTCAGGATAGGACGTTTGCTTTGTTGGAGTTCCAGTCTTTCCGTCTACAGTCTTCCGGGACACAAAGCCTGAGTCTTCTTCCAAGAAGAAATGGCTAGGGGGCATTTAATAAGGTTTCTTTCTGATCTCTTCCTTCCCCTTCCCCTATTCCCTTCCCACTTCTCTCCCTACCTGGACTAGAGACAAATACTCTAAAAGAGTAAAAACTCCGTTCCTTTTCCCGGTTCTTAAACTTATTTGGAGAAACTAAAGCCTCCATGCAAATTCTGCGCTCAGTTCCCACGCGCCCACTCTGGTCTCCAACTTTCCCTACTTGATTTCTCCCGGAATTTCTTAACTTTTCCCACTACAGTGAATGGTGGGGACTAGACTGAACTGTGAAAGCAGGAAGAAACATCACTTTTACCCCAAAATCGACAAATTACCACATTCCCCTCCCCCCATACTCTCCCAGAGCATTCATTAGACTGAAACTGAAGTGGCCGGGCACCGGGTCCGCGGCCTCCGGGGTTCGCACGCTCTGCCGGGTCGCAGAAACCACGGCATGAGGTATTCAGGTCTGCAGAGCATCCAGTGCAAAGTCTGCACCTGCTCATTGCGTGAGTTACCAACCTTAAAAGGAAAGAAAGAAAAGGGGAAAAACAGTTTGGAGCAAGAGTGCGCGCCCGCGCGCGGGAGACCGTGCTATGCTGTGGTCTTCCTTTCCCATCTTTCCAGCTCAGTTTCCAAGTCCCAGGCACCCGGTCACCTCCCCCTACAGAGGGAAAACTGCTTTGCCCTCGTTTCCGCGGGCTAACGTATCCCTTTATCTCCTTTGCACACGTACACGCTCACACGCGGACACACGCACACATGCGCACACACAGAGCCCTCCCCTCAAAGGGCTTTCCCTAGGGCTTCGGGCCGGACTCCCCCGCGATTAACCCCAGCCTTTGGGCCTCAGTGGCCGTTCCCCGCGCGACCAGCCAAGTGGCCACTCCCTGGGCTCTCTGGCCGGGGTCATCACCCCGAAAGCTCCTTCAGGCTTCCCGAACCCTGCAAGGCAGGGTCACGACCTCCCCGCTACCCCCAGACGCCGCTAGGCGCCGCGGACCGAACCCTTGCCCGCCCGCCCCCTCTCTCCCCCCAGTGGCCCGGTGGCTCGCCTAGGAGCCCGGTTCCGAGGGAGCGCACACCCGTGAGGCAGCCCTGCCAGGGGTCCCCAAACGCTGTCGCGGCCCAGGAGGAGGCTGTGGCTCTTTGAAAAGGCGTCTTCCTCAAGCTTCCCGCCCCCTCCGCCCCGAGGCTTGGAGTTCCCGCGCCCCACAGCAGCCAAGCCCTGGCGCCCCGGGAGAGCAAGGGGCGGACCGGGCGGGAATAGCAAGATCTGGGCAGGGTGAGGTGCCAACTTCTCACAGGGTCAGGAGCGAGTGGCAAACCCAGAGCAAAGGCAGGAGAGGCCTCGCTCAGCCAAGCTTGCGGCTCGCGGGAGCGCGGAGCGAGCGGCGCGGGGAAGGAGAGGAGGTGGGTGGAAAGGGACTGGGGGCGGCGGAAGCTGCCCCCCGCTCTTTACCTTGCGTTGGTGCAGTCATTGTAGAGGGTCTCGAAGTCCTTTCTGGAGATGAGTTTGCAGCGATTCACTCCGGGCTGGATGGCGCCCAGTCCCCTCAGGATGCGAACCTGTTCCACATTGCACACCACCGGCGTGATCTCCAGCCGCTTCAGCTTGGTGTAGACCGTGTGCAAGCCCCCCACCAAGTGCTTCAGGAACAGGTCGAAAGCCTGGGGCAGGCAGATCAGCTCGCAGCCCTCCACCGTGAAGGAAGCCACTTTAGCCCCCCTCAGATCCACCATTTTGCACTCATTATTCTGGGGGGTGTTTTCCACTGGGGACGGGGTCGAGTACACGGGTTTCCCGGGGAGGGGGCCGCAGCTGCTGCTGCTGCTGCTGCTGCTACTGCTGCTGCTACTGCTGCTGCTGCTGCTACTGCTGCTGCTGCTGCTGCTACTGCCGGTGCTCGCGTTGATTGGGGTGCTGGAGGCGCCGCTGCCGCTGCCGCCAGCGCTAATGCTGCTGCTGCTGCCGCCGCCGCCGCCGCTGCCGCTGTTCCCGGTCGCCAGGCTGGGGTTGCAGTTGCTGTTGCTGCTGCCGCCGCCGC